TAGAGGCTGGGGGAGGGGGAGGGGGAGCAGTAATTACCGAGTTAGAGCAGGACAGGACAGGCGGGCGGGCACAGGCCCGGGCCCAGCCGCCTCAGCAGCCGTCAGGCAACATTTTTCTGCCCCTTCTCCACCACCCACATCCCCCACCCCTGTGCAACCCCCACCCACAGCCCCAGGGCTCAGGGCTCCCTCTGCTGGCTTGTGGGAGGTGGGGTCAGTGTGGGGACTTTGGGGGTGGGGGTGGGGAAATAGAAGGAGGCTGGCTTGGAGAAGGTTCAGGGGACATTGGGCATCCAGTGGGCTGTGATCTCTTTGGCCTCAGTGATGCACTCCAGTGCCTGCTGGGGAAGAGGAGGGTCCTAGAGGGTGCATTTGGCCCCTGAGCAGGGCTGGATGGAGGAGGAGGAGACACAGGGTTCCAGGCTGAGAAGAAACAGCAGAGAGTTGGAGAAAAGGGTGTTCTCAGGAATCCACAATGCTGCCTGCACCCTACTGCTTATCCTGAACTGTGCAGGCCCAAGAGATCGATAAGGATGTGAGTGGGAAGACAAACACCAGCTGTTGGAGGACACCCAATCTCTGGACAGACTCTCTGCATCTATAATCTGGGAGGGAGGTGGGTATCACTATTGTCATTTGACAGCTGAAGAAACTGAGGCTTAGGAGGTTAAGTCTCACCATCCGTCTAATGAAGATTAAGTGCCAATTTCACAGGCTAGGGACTCACCGAACATCACAGCACAAGCAAATGGCAGAGCCCAGATCCAAACCCAAGCCTGTGGATCCCAAAAACCCTGAGTGCACTCCGTTAATGCCCACGCAGGAGCTTACTGTCTTTGATGAGTTTTCTATCTAGTTGGGAAGATAAGACAAGCAAACATGAAAAATTAATTATACCACTGGCAGGATAACAGACACCCCCGAAATGAGTGACACCCCGGGTGATGCATGGGGTGAAGGTCGGTGGGGATTGGGGCCCAGGGAGGCTCCTTAGAGCAAATGGGATCTGAGGTGAGTTTGGAGAGATGCTAGGATTTTGATGATTTAGGACGGGTCTGAGTCCAGAAGTTCAGCGATGCTATCTAGAATAGATTACGAGTTAACCCTGCTAGGAGTACGGGGCTGTGAGGAGGAGGGTGTGCGAGGCCACCGGAAGTCTCCAGACATCTCCTGTGCCCATTTCCCTCCAGCACTGTTTGTGTTTGAAATATTCACCTACTGTGTCTTGCAATAGAGATCCCTCCACCAGTGACCAGGGTGTCACTTCCTCTCTTGCTCATCTGTATAATGAGCTGAACTGGGTGATCTCTGACAATGTTTTTGGCCCTCTGACTCAAGAAATGGAAAGGTAGGTTAGGCCGGAACCCCAGACCTCCAGGGCTTAGGTCTACAGATGTTGCCAATAGGGACGGGCTGGCTGCTGACACTACCTCACTGGGCAATGGATCCTATCAACCACGGTCCTTGGGAGAGAGACCTTGGCACAGGCCAGGCCAGTTAGAATGACCATCCATAGGGTTGTCCCTTCTTGACCACATACTGGTTTCTTTGAGGGTGAGCTTCATTGTTTTCTATGCCCAGGAATGGCTGTTTGATGAGGATCCCAGATCCTATATATTGTGTATTCCCTACCACCACTGTGCTTCAGACCCCAAAACATGCAAATTCTCCCAAAGGAGCACATCTTCTCTGGTTGATCCCAGGCCAATGCTGACCCAATGGCCTGAAAAGCAGAGTTCACTCCCTAGGGAAGCGTAAAGGAAGGAAGGTGAGAGGTGAGTGGGAATGGGGGACTTATTACTTGATGTGGTGTCAAAACCAAAGTTGTAGGCAGTCTGTGAACCTCTCATGCTAACTCCTCAGTTTTTCTGAAGCCCACAGAGGGAATTGACTTGCTCAGAGTGGCTCAGCCCACACAGAGTTGACAGAAACCAGAGTCTGGAAGCGAAGCTTGGTGTTTTGCCCAATGCCCCCTGCCACGCCCCTTCTGGAGTTTCATTTCCTATGTATTTAGGATGGGAGAAAGGACAGCAGGGCAGGGAACAAGCTGGTCCTTTGGGATTCTAGCTGCTACTACTGCCCATCCCTCCCCCTGACCAGCTTGTAAACAAGTCTAGTTCCCAGGCAGCCAGCCAGCCTGGGGAGCCAGACCCAGATCAGGAACTGGCTCTGGGCAGCCCCCCAGCCCTGTGGAGGGTCAGCCCCACCTCCTGAAGGTCCTTGGGCTTCATACTCCTCATGATTCTCCCCTGGCTCTAGTCTCTGGAAACAGACAAGGTCAAGAGGTCTTTTGTCTTTCTGTCTTGCTCATCTCCACTCCCTCCTGCTTTCTTAAGGGAGGAGGAGGGAGAGGAGAAGGATGGGGCAGAGTAACCTTGGGAAGATAAGGCCCGTCACCCTGGGAAAGTAGGGAGTTAGAGAGGGCAGGATTGAGGAGGGACTGGGGAACGTAGAAGCAGGGGCAGCGGGGGTGGGGAAGATGAGCTTGCAGAGCCTCAGACTCACAGGTAGAGCCCCAGACATAGGAGCTGGAGGACTGCAGAGAGGACTCATTCCCTGTCTCTGATTCCCAGTGGGGGAAAAGAGCATGTTTGGGGATATGAATTAGGAGTCACGAAATAACATGTGAACGGGAGCCTGGGCTCAAGTGAGAACTTTCTCTTAGATGACTTACTTATTCATTCAAAAACACATATGAAATGGTGTTCTTTGTATAATATACTACAGGTAGTATTCATATATAACACAAAATTCATACTATGCAATTTTTTTGTAATAAAAATTGGGATTGGGGGAGAATAAAAACTAAGTAACTAAAAGTCTTCCAGGAGATCCAAAGGAAAATAAGGCAGTTCTAATTCTCAAAAAGCTCATAGTCTTACCTGCTGACCCTTCGCAGCCATATTGAAAGCTGCCTCCAATCCTTCTTATAATGAGGTGGGATAAATGGGCAGAGGAGGAACAGATAGATTGATGGATCCATAGAGAATGATCAACTCTCAAAAGTCACTGGGTCACTGGGCTCCCCTGACCCACTCTCCATTGCTGTACTTATGGAGGCTGGGAAAGGGTGGGGGTCAGTGCTGGACTGGTCTTAAGCACGCAGGAAGGAAGATGTGGACTGTAGCCTCTCCACTGAGAGACATCTGGTTCCTGAGCTTCTTGGGTAAGGATGACGGCAGCAACTCGATTTTGTGTGTGTGTGTGCATGTGTGTGTACGCGTGAGAATGCACACGTGTGCATACGTGTTTGTGTTGTAGACCTTAAAGGACTGAGCTTACTACACATCTTCCTGCACCACCACTTCAAGCATCTCCGTCCTTAGTGTTAAGAGTTCTACCTTAAGACCTAAATTCCTCTTGCTTCTATTTAAGACCATCATATTTCACTGTTGTGGAGACAGAACATGCCTGGGCAGCCTGTGCTTGTGGAGCAAATGGGGACAGTGGGGCGGATGTGCACTAAAGCAAAACTGAAAAGTAGGCCACCTTGACCTTTGGCGCCACCTACCACCATTCAACATGTTTTCTATCTCTTGGGACCCCTCCCCCACCCAGTTTTTTTCTGCCCTCTGCCGAAGGGCTTTTGGGTGGTCTCTAAGTACCCTCTGCTCCCAAATGCTCTAGTCATTCGTTTGAGACGGGGACCCCAGCTAAGTGTTCACATAGAAGCGAGCTGAAAGCGGTTTCCCAGGTGTAAATCTCTAAGGACTTAACCTCCAGGGGTCTGGTGTACAGAAATCAAATGTCAGCTCTCTCCTCGGGCAGAATGAAGGCCTGGAGTGGAGGGATTTCTGGAAGTGCGTGGAACTTCCCATGAAGTCTTCCCCTACCAAGCCAAACATTGCCCGCCCCCCAGCCGTGATGTCACCCCAGGGCGCAGGGCTTGGCTCACTGCCATTCTGCTCAGAGAAGGCAACAGATCCTTGGCCGTGTTCGGTGGCTCATGCCTATAATAATCCCAACACTTTGGGAGGCTGACTTAGGTGGATCACCTGAGGTCAGGAGTTTGAGACCAGCCTGGCCAACATGGTGAAACCCTGTCTCTACTAAAAGCACAAAAAAATTAGCCAGGCGTGGTGGTGCGTGCCTGTAGTCCCAGCTATTTGGGAGGCTGAGGCAGGAGAATCGCTTGAACCCAGGCAGTGGAGGTTGCAGTGAGCTGAGATCTCGCCACTGCACTCCAGCTTGGGTGACAGAGCGAGACTCTGTTCCAACTTAAAAAAAAACCCAAAAAAGACAAAAAACAGCTCCTAGAGTAGAAGGTCAGTGTCACCTACTTCCCAACAATGCTTCAGAGACGTGGCCCCCAGCTCCTTCCTCCCGCTTTCCAGTTCAGGGACACAGAGGGTATCAGGGTGGGAGGGTCCACCTTAGAGATGAAAGCCCAACACACCCATTTTGCAGGAGAAACTTGGGCTACAGAGGGGATGCGACTTTTCTCAGAGAGCCTCCCATTCTCTAGCCGTCCAACATCGTGGCATTCTCTCTTCCTGGGATTGTTCTTGCCTTTCATCAGGGCTGTTCAGCTGACACATATCCAGCTTGTGGTCCACTAGGACCATATTATTCCTTGATACTGCTTACTTGTCTTTGATGTCTCTTGATGACACATACTTTCTTTTCCTTGGCGACCTTCTTGATCTTTCTTCTGTCACCCTTTTGGGCTAGACGTTTGAGGTTAACTTTTGCTTACCTGGGGCCAGCTGCCTTCATCTTGAGTCAAATTTCTATAAGGATTTATTTACAAAGATGTGTGCAGAAAGATAAGATTGAAGCCTTGCTCTGTAGCAATTATCGGGCTAGACTCTAGTTAAGAGGGGACACAGACTTGGATTAGTAGGAGAGCCACACAGGACAATCTCAAGCTCAGTTTGGGGGTAGGGCAGGAGGGCATGTAGCAGCTCCTGGCTGCGGGCTGAGTGGGGCTGGTCTCCCTCCCCTCCACCTCATGCCCTTTTTGGGGTTACACCCCTGACCTGCTACTCTCTGCTTCCCAGGGCTGTGGGCAGCCCCTTGGTTATGGACCCTATCAGCATCTGCAGGAAGGCACGGCGGCTGGCCGGATGGCAGGCGGAGTTGTGCCAGGCTGAGCCGGAAGTGGTGGAGGAGCTAGCCCGGGGCGCCCGGCTCGGGGTGCGAGAGTGCCAGTTCCAGTTCCGCTTCCGCCGCTGGAACTGCTCCAGCAACAGCAAGGCCTTTGGACGCATCCTGCAGCAGGGTCAGTGTGGGGAGGGGGCGGAAGCGGGGCTGCATTCTCCCCGCTGGGGCACCGGAGGAGAGGGAAGCTGGTTCGTGGAGGGGAGCTGGTTCGCAGAAGTTGCTGAGTCCCGCTTCCCCGACGCAGGGGTCTGGGCACCCTGCAAGGACCCTGCCTCCCAGGACCCTGGGGCAGCCCTCCCGCTGCAGGTTTCGGGTCCCAGGCCCCAGCTGACTGCCCCAGCCCGCGCTGACTGCATCTCTCTGCATTCACAGACATTCGGGAGACGGCCTTCGTGTTTGCCATCACTGCTGCGGGCGCCAGCCACGCCGTCACGCAGGCCTGTTCCTTGGGCGAGCTGCTGCAGTGCGGCTGCCAGGCGCCCCGTGGGTGGGTCCCGCCCCAGCCCTCCGGCCTGCCCGGCACCCCCGGACCCCCTGGCCCTGCGGGCTCCCTGGAAGGCAGCGTCGCCTGGGAGTGGGGAGGCTGTGGCGACGACGTGGACTACGGGGATGAGAAGTCGAGGCTCTTTATGGACGCGCGGGACAATCGGGGACGCGGAGACATGCGCGCGTTGGTGCAACTGCACAACAACGAGGCAGGCCGGCTGGTGCGTATGGGCAGGACTGAGTGAATGTGTGCAGGCATGTGAGTGGGCGTAGGAGCGTGCCCGAGAAAGTGTGGGCAGGAGTGAGGGTGTGCAGGTGGAGGGGTGTGTGAATGTGTGGGGGAGTGGGCACGGGCAGAGGGGGCGGAGGGAGGCCTCGGATAGACTGGCTGCAAGCATGGATGGACAAGTGGAGCAGAGATGCCCAGCCTCAAAGAAGGAGTCATTTAGGGGTCTGGGAAGGCCAGATGCTGGGCAGTATAGCGGGCAGAGAAGGGAAGGAACACTCAGGGAACGGCGTTGAGGGCCTTTAGGGACCCCAGGTAGAGAGGGCACAGCTCCAAGACAGGACAGGTGAAGCAAAGCTTGGAGTAGGTAGCGGGTCTAGATGCTTGGGCAGGAGTAGAAGAGTACAGCAAAGGCTGGGATGAAAGACAGGAGAGAAGCTAGGGTAAGGTCTGGGGTCTGGGTGGAGAGAAGCCAGGGTGAGTGAGAGAGGCCTAGAAAGAGTTAGAGCACGTCTGAAGGGCAATGGAAAAGAGCGAAGGACAAGGATCCGGTCCTGATGGAGGTTGGAGGGAGTCAGGTGGAGGCCAGGAGAGCTGTGACCAATTCTGGGCACTTGCCAACTGGCTGCCCAGCAACCCCAGCCCAGGTCTCACCTGCTCAGAGCCGTGGCAGGCTCTCCGCTCCCATCAGAAATGAAGACAGCCCCAGGAACTCTGGTTCAGGGGCAAGAAGGTTGTCTGGGTGTGATGGTTTCAGGAGGGGGCAGGGTAGACTCAGGAGATGAGGGTGGGGCACATGGTCAGGTTGGGCCCCAGACTCTGAGCTTCCAGATGATTTTCTCTGGGTCTTCTGAACCATCAGTCTTTGCGGGGGTTCGGGAATCTTAGACCTTGCTTCAGGCAGTGAATCGGGGAGAGGCCGCCTGCGTTCCACTCTGAGTACTGCATTACCAACAGGCCCTCCTCCACCCGATGCCTCAGTTCGAGGGTTCTCCAGGGACACTGCCACTCATACCTTGTCTTCCAGGGTTCGGAGCCTGAGGCTTCGGGCAGGGGGGGAGGGGGCCGGAAGAGGAATGTCAGGACAGGCCCACATACCTGCTGAGAGAGTTGGGGATGGGTGGCGGAGACAGACGTCCAGGCGTCTCTGCGTCTCTGCTCAGCCCCGGGCCTTGAGGGGTAGGAATGAGGGGGCCAGGTTGGCAGGGGGGCTAGGCCTGGACAGCTGCAACCTCTTCCGTCCTTCAGAGAGAATCTCACCTTTGCTGTCCATTCTGCTTTCCCCCCCACTCCCTGGCTTTGGACCCTGGAATCTCTGCGCTCCATATTCTCCCCCGACCCTCACTTCGTCATCCTCATACTCATCATCCCTCCTGCTCCCTCCCTCTAAGCTGTCCTTTCCTTGATTTCCTCCTCCCGACCTTGCGGTCTCCTTCTTTTGTCTGCATTTTCCTCTCTTCCTTTCACTTTCCATCTCCAATCTTATTTTCTGTCCATCCACTGGGCCCTTCCTCGCACCCCCCATCTGTTCACATGCACCCGCCCCTCTGCTCCCCCGCAGGCAGTGCGGAGCCAAACGCGCACCGAGTGCAAGTGCCACGGGCTGTCGGGCTCGTGCGCGCTGCGCACCTGCTGGCAGAAGCTGCCTCCGTTTCGCGAGGTGGGCGCGCTGCTGCTGGAGCGCTTCCACGGCGCCTCACGCGTCATGGGCACCAACGACGGCAAGGCCCTGCTGCCCGCCGTCCGCACGCTCAAGCCGCCGGACCGAGCGGACCTCCTCTACGCCGCCGACTCGCCCGACTTCTGCGCCCCCAACCGCCGCACCGGCTCCCCTGGCACGCGCGGCCGCGCCTGCAATAGCAGCGCCCCAGACCTCAGCGGCTGCGACCTGCTGTGCTGTGGGCGCGGGCACCGCCAGGAGAGCGTGCTGTTCGAGGAGAACTGCCTGTGCCGCTTCCAGTGGTGCTGCGTAGTGCAGTGCCACCGCTGCAGCGTGCTCAGGCAGCTTACCCTCTGCCTCTGACCTGCCTGCGGGCCCCTAGACTGAGCGCAGCGGTGGCTCTCGCCAGCGGGATCTCAGGGTACCGGCACCGGGCGCCCGTGGAGCCCAGCCTCTCTCTGCCAAAGCCCAACTCCCAGGCCTCTGGAAATGTTGAGGCGCGGGGCTTGAGAGGAACAATCCCCCAAGAAGGCCCAGGACACCAGATGGCCCCTGAGAGGCGCTCACGGAGCACAGGCGCTCACGGAGCACAGGCGCTCCCTCCCCTTGACCCCTAGGCGGAAACCAAAGAGCCAGTGTAAAGGCCTCTGGGTACTGGGATCCCCAGAACTGCTGGCCACGGGATGGTGGGTGAGGTTAGTATCAATAAAGATATTTAAACCACTAGGGCTGGACTCACAGTTTCAAGGGAGACTGATCTACAGGCTGCCAACTTCCAGAAGGTGGTTTTGCTACAACTAGCATCTCAGGGAGCTTCACCTGGGTCCCCATCTCCCAACCAGGTTGGCCTCTCCTGAAGACTCTCTATTTTCTCCTTGGCATTCTTCTTGTTCACCCCTGTCACACATCTAGGGCCTGGATCTGCAAGCTGGAGAAGAACTAGCAATTCTTCTTTAAAGGGACGAGTCATCAGAAGCTTCTGATGGTATGCTCAGCTCTCAAACTCACCCTTATCTTAATTTTTAGGGGATTATGTCTGTTTCTGTGACACATGGGAAATTCCTGGGTAGACTGGGGCTGCCTAAGCCCATGGGATTAAAGCACTTTTTTTTTTTTTTTTTTGGGGTTGGAGTCTTTCTCTGTTACCCAGGCTAGAGTGCAGTGGCCCGATCTCATCTCACTGCAACCTCCGCCTCCCAGGTTCAAGCAATTCTCCTGCCTCAGTCTCCAAGTAGCTGAGATTACCCGTTTCTGCCCCCACACCCGGCTAATTTTTGCATTTTTAGTAAGACAGGGTTTTGTCATATTGGCCAGGCTGGTCTCGAACTCCTGACCTCATGATCCGCATACCTTTGCTTCCCAAAGTGCTGGGATTACAGGCGTGAGCCACTGCGCCCAGTCCTAAAGCACTTTATAAACTGTAGAATGTGATGAACACTTGTTATTAGCTCCACCAGATTTTGTTACCATCAAAACTAACTTCACCACATTCGCATTGAAAAGACTGTCCACAGCATTTCTGATCACACTTAGAGGGAGAGGAAGTAAGTTTGTCCCAACGTTTCTCTTGGCGCCCAACAATATTTCCTTCCTTCTGTTTCCTCTTGGGAAGCTCATGGTGAAAGTTAGTGGACAGAGGGCAGTTCTGGATTCTCCAGAACTGAAGCTTGAGCACCCATCTTCCTCCAGAGAGAAAGAGGGAGGGCAGAGCCCAACTTCCAGGACTCAGAGCCCCCAGCTTTCCTCCAGTCCAAATACTGCAATGGGGAATGACTTCCCCATCAAGGTATGGAGGACAAAAAATGAGCTTTGGGGTCAGACACTCTGTTGTTTGCAGTTGGTGTTACTGCTTATAAATTTACAACATAGGTCAAGTTAGCCTTGTTTTCTTTATGTGGTGGGGATTTGGCTCTGTTTCGGTTATCCAATACTATGTAACAACCCCAAAGTAATTACTTCTCAGGAATCTTGAGGTCGTGATTTGTCAGAACTCAGCTCAGTAGGTCTGTATATAGCAGAACCATTGGCTTGGGTTCTTATGGCTGCATTTTGCTGGAGCCTCTGTTGTGCTGGACAGTCCAAGAAGCCCCACTCACATGTCCAGGGCACAGAGCTTCTCTGGTGCTCTCATTCTCTCCATGTGGCTAACTTGGGCTTCCACACTGCATGTTAGCCTTAGGATCATCAGACTTCTTACATAAGACTGGCTTTCAAAAGAGAGTGTACCAACCTTAAAGGCAGAAACTGTAAGCCTCTTCTCAAGTCCAGCTTTGGAAGTTACATAGCATCACTGTAACTCTGTATTGGCCAAAACAGGTCACAGAGCCAGGCAAAATTCAAAGGGAGGGAAAATCAATTCCACCTCTCAATGCAAGGTGTGGCAAAGAATTTGCAGCCATTGTAATCTGTCCCACACCCTCACAGGATTGATGGGAGAATTTTTTTTTTGAGATATGAAAGCCTTTAGCATAGCTTATGACACATACTTTGTCAACCATATGTTTAATAAATGGTAGTTGCTGTGAGAATGGGGATAGACGTGTGACGCTTTGAGGTTATTGGGCAGGCCCTGATTGCAAATGAAGGTACCTGACTTTTAGCCGAGTCCAAACAGAATTAATGAATGGCTCTTATGCCCGGGAAGTCCAGGGGTAAGTCTGAATTCAAGTACAGCTGAACCCAGTGGTTCACATGGTCCCAGGTCTCTTTCTCATCTTCCCTTTCCCTCACCCTTGCACCTATTGTTTCTGCTTGTCTCTGTCTCTCTTGGCATACTGTCCTCGCTGTCTCCTCCTGCAGACTGTCTCCATACGACATGCTCTATATGCATTCTTAGATCCAAAAAAGAAGAATGACTTTCTCAGTTGTCTCCAAAAGAAGTCCCAAGGAAGACCTTGCTTAGTTCAGCTTTTTCATTTGCTTATTTCTGAACCAACAACGGCGTCTAGGGAGATGTACTGCCACCTGGGATTGACAGCCTCTCTAGGACCACGGGTGGGGGGACACACAGGGAGCAAAGCATACTTCTTCAAATGAAACAGAAGGAAAGGGTGCTCATTCTGGATGTGACAGACCCTCACCGTGACATCCAGGACTCCTGTCCTTCCCCTGCAATGCCCCTGCATTCAGTCTGTGACCCAGCCTGCTTCAACCCTCAAGGCTCATGGTGGGGAGGGGTGTCAGGCTGCGGGAAGGTGGAGGTGCCTGGGTTTTCCTTTCTGTCTTCTCTTGGCTCCCTTGGGCTTTGGGGAAGTCATGGAGAATTTGGACTTAGAACTCGACCAAAGGAAACTGTTAACTTACCAAAGGAGACAATGGGGCTACATTATGGTTCACATGGAGGAGAAATTAAGCTCCCTGAGGGCAAGCTTTGTAGTCATAGATCTGCCTTCCCTAAAGCTCTGCGCTTGTCTTCAAACCAACCAACCCCAAACCCAAACTCCTGCACTTCTCACACAGAACACCAGGGGGCATACGGAGCCCAGCTTCTCTATTAGCAGCTAGTGACAGACTGGATCCGCAGGACATCTGCGAAACTCAGAGAATGGTGGGCAGGAGAGGGTAGGACTGAAGAGAAGCAAAGGAGACCTATAGACAGCTCGAGTCAAGCTTCTAGGGTTCCAGAGCATCTGGAATGTCTGGGCTGACCCAGACTTAGGGCTGGGACACCATCCTCTTGGTCTTGGCCACTGCTGGGTCCTGCAGGGAGTGAGATAGGGTGGATGATGCGCCACCATGCCAGAGAGAGAAACTGGGGAAGTGGCATGAACCGACACCACCCCAGGCAGGTGAAAAGGAACTCAAGGAAATAGTATGGTACAATGAAAAACGCCTCGTTTGCGTTTGTCCTTGGTCAAGCCAGTTAACCTGTCTGAGCACTTCCTATTGCCTAATAGGGGTGCCTGATTGCTTTTCAGCACTTTGTGAAAGTCCACTTCAGTCTTTAAACTGCTGGCCACATGTTACTGGTCCATCTTCTGTGACCAAGCCCTGAAGACATCTGGGAACTGCCTTCTGTGAAGGGTGGGAGTGATGACCCAGGAGGCACCATTGGGACTTATAGTCTCATCTTCTTTCAGTCCAGAGATAGATCTGTGCTCTTTCCCTGCTGCCTGGGAAGGGGCCGGAAGGAGAGCTCCCACCACCACCCCACCCCTGTCATCCAGCTGCTCAGCCCCAGGCAGTCTGAGCCATCAAAGTCCCCTGCTGGCTGAGTGGCAGGGGACATGTGGAACTGGGGAGATGGGGGAAGTGCACAGAGGCACCCCAGATGTGCGTGTGACCACATCAGGAACAGGCAGAACACAGGCAGATGGCTGAGGAGGCCGAGTAGAAGGCCTAGAATTAGCCTGAGGCTGAGGGCTCGGGGAACATTTCCCTTCCCTTTCAATGACCAAACACTTTAGGAGTTTGGGGAGACTGAAGCAGCAAGCCACTTCCCGTTAGGGGGATGCTGAGGGTTAGTGGCCCCAGAGGCCTGGACAACAAGGCAAAGAGCCCCCGTATTGGCCTGGGGCTCCTTGGCTCCCTTCTTCATCAAGACAAACTTCTCCAGCTGGGCACCAGGACTGGGCTGGGGCTGGACGGGGCTAAGCTGGGGCTGTGAGGGTCCCACCTGTTCTCACCCTGGTGCCTCCCCTGGCCCTTCCTCCCTGTGACCTTCTCCAGAGCTGCCACAGCTGGAACCATTCTCCAAGCTGCCTTTCATCCCCAGTGCTCCCCCGCCCCCCAGTGGCCCCTGTAATTGTGGTCTTAGGCGTCGGCTGCGGGGGCTGGGGCTGGGCTGAGGTCCAGAGCCCAGGGCAGGGCCAGAATGGGGACTGGGGGGTGCCGATAGGGGCTTGGCCATGGTATGGGTCATATGGGGCTGGGGCCTCAGCTGCAGACAGTCTCTGGGCCTCACCTACATACATGCCAAGGCTCTGGGCAGACACAGGCCCTCCCCTCCCTGCACTGAGAAGCTCTGACTTGGGACCCTCCTGACACCAGGCCAGAGCCACGCCTGAGTACAAGCCTCAGGAATCACCATTTACCTTCTGAGTTTCTTTTTAAGACAAGGTTTTCTCTGTCTCCTTTGCACCTATATATTTCATGAACAGTGGAGGGGGGTTAACAGAGACCCCCCCCCATCATCAGAGAGATACCAAAAGGAAACTAAATCCGCTCCTCAACCAGGTCAGCAGCGTTTCCCAAAAGGAGTCCCCACCAAAATCACTGGGGATGCTAGCTAGAAAGTCAGACCCCCAGACCTTGTCCCAGGAAAGGCGGATTCAGCTGCATGGAGCCTAGAATCCGAATTCCCACAACAGCCCACCCCAGGGGATACGTGTGCTGCATCAAGCGTGGGAAATGCTAGTGTGAGCACAAGATGGGGAATAGGCCATCTGCAACCTGATTATGAATCCCCTCCCCGTGTCATGTTCCTAATCCTTTCTGGGCCTCAGTTTCCCCAATAGCCAATGAGAACATGACTCTCCAGCCTGCTGGTGTCCTCTCCCATCCTGGGCTGGTGCCGATGTTCTGTGTTGAGTCTGGTCCCACCCTTATCCTTCCGGCTTACCCTTCCCAAATGCTAGTCCCAAGCTGTCCCTGTTCCTGCAGCTTGGTGGGGAGAGTGGGGAGGGCAGGGGGCAGTTGGGGTCAAATAAGGCTCTGGCTGACACAGTCTGCTTGCTGCCCCTGGCTGTTTTCCTGCAGTCCAGCCAGACTGCTCCCCCCCCCCACTG